TTCATCACCTAAAATTATTCAACTTAGTAGCTATTTTCACGGACATCGCATCCAACCATAAGCAGGAGTAGCAATTACCAAGCTGCGCATTGTTTGCGGTCGGAGTTTGGATAGTATGATGCTGGGTGCGTAAATTCGGGTTCTCTAACTTCAAATGATGAGTCATTTGTTAACTATGTTACATCAAAACTGAAGAATGCAAGAATGCACTTGACCTGTGCCTGTTCTCACTATCCTTAACGACTGAGGGAAACCTGCGCAATAAAGATCTCTCAGAATGGCAAACCAAACCTAAGTAGTGGTCTTCCTTGCGAGAAATAGATTAGTAGGGTAAAGAGAACTTAAATTTCGATAACTGAAGTATGAACCGGAAAGATCGGGATACAGTACAGAAGCCAATTACGCTCACCGAATAGGCGATCCAATTGGATCCGACCACCACTTGCACGTGTCGGCGGGCGTCGACCAATCCAGAAAGCGTTGGTTGCAAACGGAACTGGAGGAATGCACAGCAAGGAGACCAGTTGCCCCTGCTTGACCACAATGTTGGGAGTGTACGCACCGGATGAGAGAACTGGTTGAGGGAAATCGGCCGACAGGAGACTCTTTGCCGTAAAGGAGGATTCTGGAAGGTTATAAAGACATGAACAGTAAACAGCTCCCGCTGGGTACACAGATATAGGGGACACAGCAACTCCCGAGAGAGACTGTCTCCTAGTAGAGTCTAATAAAATGTTCCGATTTAGCCAAGGCCTGGTGTACGGTACCCCCTCCCCCGCTCGAAATCGCACTGCATCATCGTAGAAAGCAAAACCAGAGCATTGCAATGGTGGATCATGGTCAAACAACCGTCGAATGGATGAAAACGCTCTATGATGAAGGGATATAAAATGCAGGGAAAATTCTAGTGCAAGCCCACTAGAAAAGTGAACCGATTGCCTAGATAACAGTCAGCCGTAGATTCCGACCCTTTCCGCTGTTCTTCAAGATGTGAAAGTAACCATGGGAAATTTGTTTTAAAAGTGACCATTCTACACATCGCGCTACATTCTGAAGGAATCCGGTTTATAAAAAAACGGAGAGACTGATAGAACGTAACAGCAGAGTGCAAACACAGATACCCGACCCAAACACTCATTTGCACATTAATTTGGTGTTGAAGGGAAATTCACGAGGGACCCAGCTGAATCTCTCGTTTATGATGTTGTTAAGTAACTGAATGCGCTACGCCAGATCGCTTCAAGATTCATCCGGCACGATATTCGAGTTACCACGGTACACCGTATAGATGCAATGCACTACTCACAGGGTTGCTGAAAAATATTTGACATCAGCTGGGCTCCGGGTGAGCCACCCGTAAAAACAAAAAAACATGCAACTGAGGGTATTCGCTAGTTTTGTGCAATTTGGTTTGAATTAGAACATAAGGTTGACGGAAACTGGGGGACTGTGCCTACTTGATGGGCCCGAAATGGAAGGACGAAAGCAGTCGTGGACTGGTGAAGAGGTCTAGCAACTTTGAGCAGTGTATTGCGTCTATACAAACATGGTTTCCGGACAATGGCTGTCATCGAACACACGTTAACGGCTATTAAGATGCCATGTTTGTTAGTAGTTGTGTCCCGGTAGGTTAGATGTAGTGCTCAAACAGGCATGATCGCCACTCCAAATGAGAGCACGAAAATTAACAAAGCCCCAAATGGATGTCGGTATCTTGAGGGTTCAAGCACCATTCGGTTTTGAAAATGGAGTCTAAGTTTCATGAGAAGTGCATTGCTGATGATTCCCAACAGGAATAAAACAGATGTACAGTGCTTCTGGACTTTTCAACATAGATTGGCTGTACTCACTGGATGAGACCTCTGTTGAAAGAACTCTATTGATCGCAACCATATGAGACTCATTGGTGCAAAGTTTTTTACGACCGATTCTATCCTGACCTAAACCAGTCAACACGGTGCGCCGATATTTGGAAATCACCATCTAACATTGCTATCCAACCAAGGCTGCTTGGTCGTTCTTCATAATCTGACTGACCTTCCGCAGCCTAATGAATCACGTTAAGCTGTAGCACCATTTCGCCGCCTAACTGCCATGCCAACAGAAGCATGAGAGCTGGGATACTGCCAGGTTGCCCAAGCATATACATAGAAGTCGGGAGGCAGACGTCGGGTTCGAACCACGAACCTTCCGGCCAGTAAATTCGCGCTCTGACCAGTGAGCCATCACGCCCCATGACAATATAATTCTGCACTATTCTCGCACTTTCTGAAGCAGCATGTGCGCAAGCGAAAAACGGACGTTTGGCCTATGTGGCAGAAGACTAACACTATCAGTTAACATTAATTATGAAAAATATGTTCGATGCAGCTATTAAAATGGTGTCACTAATGCATTTGTTCAATACAACTAGGTTCATTACTTCGAACCACATGTCCCGGGTAACTTCTCGGAAGCCGTACGCCTTGAAGCTCTGGTGATGAGGCAATAGTCAGATTCCCTTGAAAGCGATGCCACTAGCCCTAAGGAAATACTTCACGTCTCGTACCCCAAAGCAGGAACGACAAGTGGATAGGTTAATCTCCTCAGCGTGCGCCTTCAAGCTCTGGTGATGAGGCAATAATCAGATTCCCTTGAAAACGATGCCACTAGCCCTACGGAAATATTTCACGTCTCGTACCCCAAAGCATGAACGACAAGTGGATAGGTTAATCTCCTCAACATTCCTACAATCCTCAAGCGGCCGCTATTATCCCAGTGCTCTCTACCTTACGAACTACACTGATAAGGCTTCCCATTCCCACGTCACCACACGCCGGGCACGCCAAAATTGGGGGCTTGCATCCAACAGTCTGATTTGGTCGTGTATGCTATGGTTTCCATTAAATTTCATCGTAGTTGCTTTTGGCGCCGACAATAACCACATTCGCTTTTCCAGGCCCTGTGGTCGATCATGACAAAACTAAACATTCCGAAAAGAATCACCACACACAAGTAAGTACAGGTGCCCTCAAATGCATGAAATGTTTTAGTGCACAATCCGTTTTGATAACTCCGACAAGGTGGTACCACAAATCAAACAGAAACTCCGAGTTTCGTGATTTCCAACCAGAATGAAACAGCTGTGCAGCGCTTCTAGGCTTTCCAGCATAGATTGGCTCCACTGACAGGACATAATCTCCATTGAAAATGACCAAACCTCTCCTCAGGTCGAAAAAAACGTTGAGAACCGACTCCAAACTTATCGGATGGTTACCTTACGAGATGAATTACGGTTATCGTGCTTGTGTTCCTAAACCCTACCTATTTACCCAACAATCCAGTGTATGATCGATCAAACGCACAACTTTTACGATGCGACAAATGTTAAATGGCGACCAAAGGTTAAAATTAATAACACGGCAGACAAGTATGCTAGTCCCGCTCCATGGAAGGCGCCATAAGAAAACAGGGTGTTTAGTTTCTAATGAAAAGCCAGCACGTGCTTGGTCGTGGCTGGCCCAGGACTATGCTTGGACTATGCAGGGAGTGGCATCTCACCGAAGATTTTGCTATCTGGTGAGTGACTGTGATGGACCGGAAGTGGGGAGTCCCACTTCTCAGTAATGCAATCGCAACAGCCTGATCATCACGCTGCGTAAGTAACGATGATACTTCAGGACCTACCGTGCATAGTGAGTTGATATCTTCGACTGTCAAACCAATCGGTGCCAGTGAGTGGATCACGAGTGAAACACCGGTAGTCTCCGACATCGGAACCATCGAACGCGCGAATGACCAAGTTAAATTTGCCCGGGATACCTGGAGAACCGATAACTCGGTACTTGTCTGTAGAAGAGTAAAAAAACAGCGAAGGCTGAATGATTGTGATGTGTGAGAGTTGAGTGAAAACTCAGTGAAAAAATTATTTGGATACGAGGAACTCTTCTTCTATGATTAATCATCATCAATGACAGCGACATCAGTGGACGAAACCTCGGCGAATAGAGAATAAGACAGAACGTGGCGGTGCTAACATACCAGAGGCACCATAGACTCCCACGGTCCAGATAATCCGGATGGAAACATGCGGGATCAAATCCAACGACCGCGGGTTTTATCGAAAACAGTAGTGTATCTAACTGAGAACAAGAAGGGACACAGAAGGCGTGGATAGGTTAATCTCCTCAACATTCCTACAATCCTCAAGCGGCTGCTATTGTCCCAGTGCTCTCTACCTTAGGAACTACACTGATAAGGCTTCCCATTCCCACGTCACCACACGCCGGGCACGCCAAAATTGGGGGCTTGCATCCAACAGTCTGATTTGGTCGTGTATGCTATGGTTTCCATTAAATTTCATCGTAGTTGCTTTTGGCGCCGACAATAACCACATTCGCTTTTCCAGGCCCTGTGGTCGATCATGACAAAACTAAACATTCCGAAAAGAATCACCACACACAAGTAAGTACAGGTGCCCTCAAATGCATGAAATGTTTTAGTGCACAATCCGTTTTGATAACTCCGACAAGGTGGTACCACAAATCAAACAGAAACTCCGAGTTTCGTGATTTCCAACCAGAATGAAACAGCTGTGCAGCGCTTCTAGGCTTTCCAGCATAGATTGGCTCCACTGACAGGACATAATCTCCATTGAAAATGACCAAACCTCTCCTCAGGTCGAAAAAAACGTTGAGAACCGACTCCAAACTTATCGGATGGTTACCTTACGAGATGAATTACGGTTATCGTGCTTGTGTTCCTAAACCCTACCTATTTACCCAACAATCCAGTGTATGATCGATCAAACGCACAACTTTTACGATGCGACAAATGTTAAATGGCGACCAAAGGTTAAAATTGATAACACGGCAGACAAGTATGCTAGTCCCGCTCCATGGAAGGCGCCATAAGAAAACAGGGTGTTTAGTTTCTAATGAAAAGCCAGCACGTGCTTGGTCGTGGCTGGCCCAGGACTATGCTTGGACTATGCAGGGAGTGGCATCTCACCGAAGATTTTGCTATCTGGTGAGTGACTGTGATGGACCGGAAGTGGGGAGTCCCACTTCTCAGTAATGCAATCGCAACAGCCTGATCATCACGCTGCGTAAGTAACGATGATACTTCAGGACCTACCGTGCATAGTGAGTTGATATCTTCGACTGTCAAACCAATCGGTGCCAGTGAGTGGATCACGAGTGAAACACCGGTAGTCTCCGACATCGGAACCATCGAACGCGCGAATGACCAAGTTAAATTTGCCCGGGATACCTGGAGAACCGATAACTCGGTACTTGTCTGTAGAAGAGTAAAAAAACAGCGAAGGCTGAATGATTGTGATGTGTGAGAGTTGAGTGAAAACTCAGTGAAAAAATTATTTGGATACGAGGAACTCTTCCCCTATGATTAATCATCATCAATGACAGCAACATCAGTGTTCTATGATTAATCATCATCAATGACAGCGACATCAGTGGACGAAACCTCGGCGAATAGAGAATAAGACAGAACGTGGCGGTGCTAACATACCAGAGACACTATAGACTCCCACGGTCCAGATAATCCGGATGGAAACATGCGGGATCAAATCCAACGACCGCGGGTTTTATCGAAAACAGTAGTGTATCTAACTGAGAACAAGAAGGGTCACAGAAGGCGGGCTGAAGCGAAAGCGCCCATATCTTTTTCAACAGGTTCGTTGTACTTTGCAGTTTGTAAGTACCAGTGATAAAGGGTACGAAGCAACTTATCTCAAAAGCACCAAGGCTACTAGGATCCTTCTTCTCCCTCTTCGAACATTTGGTTGGAAGTGAGACCCGGAAGACGGTCGTGAACTGATACCTTCCGGTTTACGCGGTGGCATCATCACACCGCAAACTTTTCTTCTGGCGAACATCATACTGTGGCCCATTGAAGGACACGTATGGGGACGTATTGCTTGGATTTTCAATGGGTGTTGATTCAACTGCGAACGACATTCGTTCTTGCGGTGACACTGAAGATAAGTCTGGTGTCAGTAATCTACACAAAGCTCCCAGACCAAACTCAACAAGCTGTATGACATCTGGTTAGCTCGTGTGAAAATCTTTGGTACTTGAAAAATGAGTGCGTTTAGGTCGTTGACAACGCAAAAGCTAAGATGTCAACGGCTGCGGCTTCGGAAATTGTTCAAACACTGACTGAAAGATTAAACATCCCGACGCTAGCAAAATGTCCTGCATTCTTTCATGCCAGGGCCAGGTTCTGGATCGAAACTAAGGGATCCTGC